ACTCACTGTGGTGGTTCAGCCCTGTAGTTCCAGCTACTTGGGAGACAGGTGGGTAGATAGATTGAGGCTGGGAGGTCAAGCCTGTGGTGAGCCATGTTCATGCCATAGCACTTCAGCCTGGGTGACAGAGCGAGACCCTGTCTCAAAAACAAAACACAACAAAAGTGAGGCTGCTGCTCATGTTTTTCTGGCAGGCTAAACAATGACACGATGACATGGGTCTCGAAGCTCTTAAACTAGCATGTGGCTAGAGGTAGGGCAGTTGGAGCCAGGTGGGGTAAGACAAACATCTTCAGAAGGACTTTCCCAGCCAGGCCAGGCTACTCTAGCCCGGGACCATATTATGCTTTCAGAGTCCCCCTTGACCCAAGACCTGGGTCTTCTCTTACTGGTCCAGTTTTTTCCTTATGAAGGGTAAAGCAGGAACAGTGGAGGGAACAGCAGCCTCAGAGCCCAGTCCGTGCTGCAAAAACTAGCCTTGATGCTAGGCAACATGAGAATCAAGGTGAAACTGCCTTTGCAAATATTCTAACAGTGAGAAAATTATGGCAGTGAAAAAGTACTAATTTAACCCACCCCTCATCTTGCCTTTCCCTTAATGATTCCTAGGCTCTGGGGCCAAGCTAACCTAAAGAGACATTTAGGTTATAGTTTAAATAATAATATCCCTTCCCCAAAGCTCACCTGCCTCTGTAAGGCTAGTGAAAGCCCTTCAGGCTGGGAGGCAGAGAGGAACCTCATTTGGCTAAGGTGTAGACATAGGTTGTCATCCATCTCTGCAGAAAACACCACTATTGTAGATTGGCCTTTTGAGATTTCTTTTCAGGTTTTTTGCATGTCTGACACTCATGGCTCCACCTGAACCCACCAATCCTCTTCCTGTGGCCCCACACAGAAGCGATTCAGAGATTCAGCATGCAGGAGGACAACTTCAACCCTCTATGATTTCATCTCTGAAATCTCTGCCCCAAACAATCAGCAGCAAGCCTAGCCACTCTCACCTCTTCCCTCAAACTGCCTTGGAAAAAGTCCTAACCTATGAGCTTAGAGGAGATTGATTTCAGTACTAACTCCGTCTTCGGTGTGGCATGGCCAGCCCTGTGTTTGTTAAGCGCTTTCTTTACTGCAATGCTATGGTCTGTATTTGTGCAGCAGGCAGGAAGAACCCATTAGGTGGTTACAAAGAGGCACTATATTTTCCTCCCCCAGCAGCCTACCTCTCTCACCTTGACCACGATCATCACTTCCGTTTTAACAGGTAGCATGGCTGTGGTTCAGGAAGTTTCATAGCAGGCAGCGGACAGCAGAAGACCACTGAGTGAGAAGTCATAAGAATGTTGAGAACAGAGAAAATTGGGGCTTGGAAAACATCCTGATTCCTCTGCAGTCCATTGTTGCAGTGGCTGGAATTGAGCAGTGTCCAGCAAGGAAGTCACTGGAGGAAAGAACCCCATATTTTCAAAAGCTGGTGCTACTGAAGAACTGAGACTTATGGACAGGCACCAGGTGGTGAGAATGCTTGCAGTTCAAAGTCACCCCTAAATCCAGGGTTTAATTCTTACTTCTCCTCTTCGGCTGTCAATAGCATCTGAAATAGGTGGTCATTACCTTCTGGAAACGCTTCTTTAGGTGGCCTTTGGGACATAATTATCTCTTGATTCTCCTCTTGCTCTTTCTCAGTCTCCTCTGCTGATCTGTCCTCATTTTTCTGACTTCTCAACATTGGAGTGCCCCAGAACTCAAGCCTGCAAGTTTCCTCATCTTGGCAAATGGAAAGTCTGTGCTTCCAGTTGCTCAGGCCACTTCAGTCAGGCCTGTCCCAAGACTCTGCCAAAGCAAGATGGACTGACCTTTAACCTGTCCCACACATGTCCTCAGGGAGATGGAGTCTTTCTGTGGCTATTCACCTAGCCATGCTTCACCTGGCTGCATTGTTAGAGAAGAAGTCGTTTAGAATTGCAATGATGTGGCTGGGGGGCGGTGGCTCACGCCTGTAATCCTAGCACTTTGGGAGGCCAAGGTGGGTGAATCACCTGAGGTCAGGAGTTCAAGACCAGCCTGTCCATCATGGTGAAGCCCCATCTTAAAAAAAAAAAAAGAATTGCAATGATGTGTGAAGGAGTCACCTAAACCAAGTGACATCAGCATCATAAGGGGCATATTTCATCTCTCCTCCTCCCCATCACTTTCAACCTCTCTTTTTCTGTTCAATGTCTGTTCTGTTGTAATCTGTATGTGGGCTCCTTTTATAAAGATTGTGAGTTCTTCTCTGAGTTGCTACAACACCCAGACTATTTCCTTGAGCAGAATAACTGAATAATTAGAGAATTTTTTCTTTAAGGATCCATTCTTACATAGGAAATCCCACCCTGAGTATTTTATTTTGGTGAAGATGACAAAGAGGGGCTTGGATAAATTGAACCACATCAGTCTTTTTTCCAGAGGCATAAATGTGAAGAGGAAGAAGACGGGAAGGGACATACACGACTTCTTTTCCTGACTCCATCTGGTTCCATATTTGGGAAAATATCCCCACAGTTTTCTGCCTTTATTTTTGTTTATCATGAAAAATGAAACTACACTTAAGATGGGTCAGGATCTCACATACCAAGTAAACAGGAAATCAGAATTAGAATGCTTGGTATTTCAGGGTGAAGGCAGTAAGAGAGCCAGTGCTTACCTTTTTTCTTTTTTTTTTAAATTATGAAAATCACAAAGTAAGATAAAAATCCTTGCTCCTTGTGTTCTTAACACTGAAGATCTATGACATTATCCTAGTGGTTCCTTGCTGAAGCTTTGCAGAAAGAAAGATTAGTTTTAAAAACTGATACGGTATCCACAATTCCATATGTAAAAGGATTTAAGGATCACCAAACAGGGGTGGGCCCCAAAGCTTCACTGAGCCCTGATGAATGAATAGAACCACATTATAAGGTTCTCCAGAGAGTAGGGCAAGAGTTACCAGTTGTCTTCCCGAAATATATCAACAAGAATGCAGGCCTAATTAACGAAGCCCAAGGTTGATTTTTCTTGCTGCCTTTTTCTCTGAAAGACAAATAATAAGAAATGAATAAGGTTGAAAGCAAATGAAAACCATATTGGGGAAGTGAAGCCTAGTCAAACTTTTGGCTGGGCTCGTTGCAAACAGCTAAAGTTCTTTAATCATCTCATTGGAGATGTAGCCAAAAAATGCAATTTGAAACACACACACACAGACACAAACACACATGCACATCAACACACACATATACACATATTTCCACATCCACACCCTCCCCTCCTTTCACTGCAGATGAATCAAGATGGTGGAGACAGGATATGATCAGAACCATTCCTGCTGTCCACTTATTTTAGAAAGGACTTTGGCAATCAGTAATCTTTGCTGCCTTGGTTTGGGGCATCTATCTATGAATTCTTATTCTATAAATGTTCCCTGTGCATTGTGCATTGTGCTACAAGAAGCTAATAAGCAGCTGGATTTGGTAATTAATTGGGAATATACTAAGATGGCAAACTATTTAAGATCCAGATTCTTCTAATAGACAATTTTTCTAGAAGAAAATAAATTTGTTCACGATTAAAAGAATACTACTATCAGCCGGGTGCAGTGGCTCAAGCCTGTAATCCCAGGATTTTGGGAGGCAGAGGTGGGCGGACCACCTGAGGTCAGGAGTTTGAGAGCAGCCAGGCCAACATGGTGAAACACTGTCTCTACTAAAAATACAAAAATTAGCCGGGCATGGTGGCATGCACCTGTAATCCTAGCTACTCTGAAGGCTGTGGCAGGAGAATTGCTTGAATCCAGGAGATAAAGGTTGCAGTGAGCCAAGATCATGCCACTGCACTCCAGCCTAGGCAACAGAGAGAGACTCTGTCTCAAAGAGAAAAAAATAAAATAATAATAATACATCTGAAGGTGGGAATGGAATGAGAAACGACAACTGTATTATAATTGAGATAGTTTCTTATTAGTTGACAAAATGATGAAACACATAGAGGTTTTCCTTGTATCAGAGTCAGCCAGCTCAATCTGATACAGAGGCAGAACTCATAGCTGAATGCGGTGCTGTGATTTCATGATGGTTTAGTATGCATTCCCTTCCACTCTATCTCACAGTGCTTCAGAGTTTAAGGCTTGAAAAATTGCTATTGTCTTTGTTACCAGGGAGAGAGAAGACATATCTACCTGGCTTTATGGAAGTTGGATGGTGAGATGTGGACTTTTCAAATGAAGCCTTACTTAGATTGACATTAAATAAATCTGGTATACTGTAGAAATATTTTAACCCAACTCATGACATTTCCTTTTGTTAAAGGGAGCTCACCCCTGGCCTCTTCCTCTCCACTGCGTACCCTTCCAGGGTAGATGGAGTGTCTTACCTGACTGATAGATCTGGGCATGCTCAGCTCAGCTCCGTGTTCTTTCCTACTGGGAGTAAGTTGCTTACAGAGAGAAAGCGTTTTATCTGCTCTTCTAGAGGAGGGTTTTTCCTTATTTGGGTTCAGCATTCAGCCCCCCTTATTGGGGGGCAGGCCACCTTGGCTAACAGATTGCCATATCCTCCAACCTGGCCTCTACCAGAAACAAAGGATATTTTGGTTTTCCATTTGCCAGTCCCGTGTCAATTTGTTCAGAGCATGGGCAAAGAGGGGAGCTATTTGTTGGGAATCCTTAGACACCCCAACATGGTTTAGGCATCAAGCAAACTGAATGGAGAACTTGAACATTTTAGTTCTGATTCTACTTGTCTTTCCTTAGGTGTTTGAATTTCGGGGAGACATACAACATTTCTCTGCTTCTTTTTTTTTTTTTTTTACTGCAGAAAAGTGATTTATTTAGGCAGAGAAAGAGAAAAAGGAGAGAGAAAAAGATGAGAGAGAAAGCTTCCATGAAGATTGTGGAAGGGGACCCGAAGATGGAATCCTGGAGAGGAAAGCAGCTTCCATACTGAGTGGAAGGGGACCCCGGAAGGGGAATCCCTTCATTTTTCTTTTTTTTTGTTGTTCTTTTTCCCACTTTATTCAGAATGTTCTGCCTTCAAGGTAGTGATTGCACACAGGAAATGTACCAGGTATAGTGACTGATCTGGGGCCAGCAATGGAGATGGAGCACCGCAGACCCTTAAGAGTTCAAGCCATGCTGGAGTGGGAAGACCTATCCACCTTCTGACCATACGAGGCAGAAGGCTTAGGGTCCCGGAGCCAGACTGTCTCCTGGTTTTCCTTGTGCTGATGGCAAAATACTAAACAGGTCTCCTCTCCTTCACTGCTAAGCCCAGGGATGCAGTCTCACTCCCTGGCACTCTGCTCTCTTCTAGAAGCAATAAGCCTGGCTGGTAGGGAACCACCCTGAGGGGTATGGGAAAGGGAAGTCTGTTCACTTGCCCTGTCTCCCAAAATACTAGAGGTGGAGTTGTCACCCTCCCCAGGCTCTGTGAGCCTACGGAGCTAGCCCAGTCTCCAGGCAAGGCCCAGATGTCCTGGGACTTAGCTCAGGGAAGGAGCTATAGGCATGGGGTGCTCATCTGTCCTGGGAGCTGCAGAGCCCTGCCCCTTTTCCAGGCGGCAGTAGGAATACAGAAGCTAAGCTCACCAAAATCCTATTGGTTAATGTTTCTAGTGAATTTCCCAGAAACATTTTTAAGTAGACTACCAAACTACCCTTTCTCAATTAAAAATTCATTAAACCACTAAAACCCCTCCCATGCACTTTTTCTTGCAAATCAGATATTTGTATAAACAAATAAAAATAGGAAGAAAAAAAAAGAAAAGATATTTTCAAATGGAACTTACTTTTTAAGTGATGAAGACATACACTTGGGGGTAGGTGGGTGTGAGTTCTCATTTGTGTTTTGAAATCCCAAATTAATGAGCATGATAAACTGTTATTGCTGGCACTGGCTTTACCCCAAGTGGCCAAGTGGCACTGTCTGACTCTCTACTCTGAGTCCTTGGTGGGTCCCCTCAACCTTCCCCTAACCCCCACCCTTTCCCTTGCCATTGACTTGGGACAGCCCTTGACGATGTGCCAATCACAGTGGGAAGGGGGAGAAGGGGGGAGGTCACAGTGCATGGGGTTCAAGGTCACAGTGGGCGGAGCAAGGGGGATCACAGTGCAAGTAAGTCAGGTCGTTCCCTCTGCTCAAGTTCAGCTGCCTGCCACGGCAGTGCAACCCGTGGCAGACAACCCAGGAGGCGGTGACGGCGGCGATGGTGGCATCTTTTCTTGCCTGCATTTATCTGAGCTGTTTGAAGCCTTGTGACCCATCAGGACCCAAAGGCTGTCTGATCACATTATTGGGCTGCCTGCTGTCTTCAGGTTGGGAGATCCTGGTTGGCCTGTCAAGGATGGGTTTCTCCTGCCCCTCCTCCGGGTTGGCGCTGCCCAGGATCCGCTTCCCGGCTTCGGTGTACTCGGCCTCCCGCTGTGCTAGGGACTTGACCGGAGGGGCGGGCCTGCTGGTGGAGTTGGGGCTGTTGACCACACCGTTGCTGGTGGGCCTTTTGAGGATTCGGATCTGTGGAGGGGGTCCCGCGGGAAGGCTATCGTCCTGAATCACAATGGGCACTTTGGGAGGAGATTTGGATTTCCCCGCTGGGGGCCGCCTCTTCCCAGCTCTCAGCGACCTCCTCATCTTCCATCTTACTCTCCGCCTTCCCTCCTCCCCTCATTTTTCTTAAATGTAGAACTAGTTCATAAAATCACTACTCTGCAATTACACAGTAGTTTTCCCTTTATCTGTGGAGGATATATATTAAGACCCCCCCACCCCCCGCCCCAGTGAATGCTTAAAACTGCAGCTAGCACCAAACCCTATACATACTGTGTTTTTCCATCTGGTAACTGAGAGAGCTGTTAAGTGACTCACATGTAAGTGGGTAGCATGTACAGCGTGGACATGCTGAACAAAGGCATGATTCACACCATGGGCAGGACGCACTGGGTGGCGTGAGATTTAATCACACGAGTCAGAATGACATGCAGTCTAAAACTTATGAGTTGTTCATTTCTGAAGTTTCCCGTTTGCTATTTTCAGACTGTGGTTGACCATAGGTAACAGAAACAGTGGACAGCGGATAAGGCGGGACTACTGTATGTGCAGTAGAGTGCCACACCACGACATATTTATATAACACAGTGTATTGTTGGAGACTTTTTTCTAGCCAGAGAAACTTTCATGGCTCTATAAAGGCATGGCCTGAAAAATACCTGGTAGTTACATAAGAATTGGCTGATCAGATTATCATCTCCAGGATAAGGACATACATACAGTTACTTCATGGCTAAAAGTTCTGAAGTAAAACCTGTAGGATCTTTGTATATGTACGTGTGTATGCATGTTTAAAAAGCCTTTATAATTTATATAATCCAAACTTTTTCTTTTTTTTTTTTTGAGACAGAGTATCGCTCTTGTTACCCAGGCTGGAGTGCAATGGCGCGATCTCGGCTCACCGCAACCTCCGCCTCCCGGGTTCAGGCAATTCTCCTGCCTCAGCCTCCTGAGTAGCTGGGATTACAGGCACGCACCACCATGCCCAGCTAATTTTTTGTATTTTTAGTAGAGACGGGGTTTCACCATGTTGACCAGGATGGTCTCGATCTCTTGACCTCGTGATCCACCCGCCTCGGCCTCCCAAAGTGCTGGGATTCTTTCTGCAGCTTATAATGTAAATTTTGCTATTTGACTTTCACCGGAATTGCTTCCTTTAATATGCAAATTTAAGGCTATTTAGCTGACAGCTGCCCAGGGTGGTAAAACAGGTTATCAAGAATCTGAAAGTCTAAGATGGGGGAAAAAAATGTTTTTATGGATGTATAAAATGTATCGGTATGCCTAATATGTCTCTGTATTTACGTGTTATGTACACAATGTTTCACTACTTAAAAAATATATAAAAGAGCTCTAATTAATTGGCTTAAAAAAGTGCTTAAATCAGATAATAAAACAGCAAAGACTAGTCAAATGCTTTATCAAGTTTATGCAACTTAAGTCAAATCTTTAATAAGCTAGCTTTAAAGTTATTGGTAATGTGAGAAATACCTTAAGGATTGCCAGCATACATTTTTATTTGCATTTTTTAATCACGTAATTTCATTCTTATTCATTCCAAATACTATAAGGTGTCAAAATTTGGCACAAGGTTACAAAGCTATAAACTCAGCCTTAAAGAGAATGATCTTTGCTTTTATAATTTTTAATAAGTAAGACATTGATATTGGTTTAATGAAAATAGCTGCATCTTAAATTTAGTCTGATTACTAAAGTGCTAATCTTGTGGCTTTAGGCAGTCTAGTCCACAGGCAATAAGGAGGTTTGTTTTGAGAAAGGACTATTATTGTCTTTGTTTCAAAGCTAAACTATAAATTAAGTTCCTCCTAAAGTTAATTTGGCCTGTGCCCAGGAATGAACAAGGATAGCTTGAAGGTTAAGAGCAAGATGGAGTCAGGTCAAATCTTTTTTTCACCATCTTGGTTATAATTTTACAATGGTGGTTTTATCACTTTAAATCACGACTATCAGAGTTTTCATAAACAATCTAGGCAAATAAAATAAAATAATTAGGTAAATGTAGTGGAGTAAATACTTGTAGACAAACTGGTCATAATTTAGTATATAAAGTTATATTAAATTAAATAAGAGATATTTTATTATTTGGGTATTTTCCAATAAACATACATTGCAGGAAAACATTCTTGCTAAAAAAAAAAGTATCCTTTTTTAAAAAAAAAGTGAACAAATTTTTGTCTAATTCAAAGCTGATTTAAAGGTTATATATAAAACAAGGTAAAAGAAACCAGAAAATGTAAAGAGATGTAAAGAAAGTTATAACAATAAAGAGGATTTTTTTGTGTGTGGTAAGAAAGCTTAAAGAGAAATAATTTTATATGAGAAAAAATATTGTATGGTAAATGCAGTTTTAAAATAAAATAATGGAATGACTGGTTGTTTAAGAAGGAGCGATGCCCAGGACGGACCAGAAAGTCCGAGAATGTCATGAACGGTAGGCATAAGTCACAATAAGAGGATTTATATTAAAAAACTTCTTTAATATGATCAAGTTGTCATATTATTTTTAAGTTTCGTTTTGCTTAGGAAAAAAAAAACAGACATAAAATCTTTTTAAAATTCAGGTTATTACATCCAGGTATCTTCCTGTATGTGCTTTCAAAGTCCTTGTAACATTGAGTTACAGGACTTTGACTCCTGGGTCTAAAAAGGACACCAAGTTCAACTAAATCTTAAACATCGACAACAATTAAAGCTTCATCTTCAGGCCCCATAGAAGATGTCAATCAAAATCAACTGCATTCCTGAGACATGGGCAAGAGATTAAAGCTATTCAACTCCTCAAGACCCAAGGACTATTGAGGAGGAGGTGAGCATGAAAATTGAAACGGTCAATTCGGAAAGATAAAATAAGTTCAGATTCCCTGTAAGTTAATCATTAATGTCAAAGGCACACTAATGTAAGACCAGCATACTGGCCCCTGTGTCAGATTAACAAGGTCTTCTTGAAGCATTAACCAACTCCTATATAAAGGTTATAAAGGTTATGAAAGGCTTCTGGAAACTATATCTTACAGTCAAGATTAAAATTTTATAGATTGTTTATAAAATTTTGAAAAAATTTAATTGGCTTCATGCTGTTTTTATTAGGGCTTATTGTTTGGAAAATTAAGCCTTCTCCCTCAAAGAATAAGTGTCTTTGCCTTTTTTTTTTTTTTAAATCCTTGAATTATCACTTTGGTTAAATAAATGACTATTTTACTATGACGTGTGATCCTATTTCGTGATATCAAGTGTTCAAAACCTCTAATGTTTAACAAGCTTTCCAAAATCAAATTACAAATCATGTTTTTTTATGACCTGATTAATTCTTTAAGGTATTAGGGTCCCTCAAGCCCAAAAAATACCACATAATTTGGCTTATCTGGTACAAAAATATGTAGAAAACGTTGTCAAATATGAAATGGTGTTTGGTTCCCTTTGGGTTATATGTGTATAAATAGGTTATTGTTATATGTTCCAAAATTATGGAAAACTCCTATAATTCTAATATAACTTAGTGTACGTTTTCAGTAATGATCATAATTGTTATGTTAAAACTATTGTGTGTTACAGAGGTAACAAATTTTCTTGCCAATTGTGTCTTTGACTATGGATACCCTAAAACTTTTTGTCATCCATGGACAATTGTTTTGTTTTGGTCCTCTTTAGAAGGTGGTTTAATAATCGGCTATAAAACTCTAACAGGTGCTCTTGAATGTGGGGTTTCCAATAACTTTGGAGAGTGTGACATCAGAATACAGGAAAAACTTTCAGGACTCGGGGGGAGCTAAAACATTCATGAATATCAAGAAGAAAAGGAATAAACTTCATGGACTGAACTAATCTTTTTGACTTTTTACTCAAAACGTTTTCTGATCCTTTGTTTTGTTTTTCAGAGTCTTAAAACTTTTATGCTGTTGACAACTTTTAACAACTCAGTATATACCTATGAACAAAATTTGGAGCATATTTGTTTGTCTCTACCTGATTTTTTCAGAATTTGGAAACTATTTGTAAATATTCTTAACTTAACGGCAATACAGTTATTTGTGTAAGTGTAATAAGAATCTGTTTTCATTTGCAGCAGGACACAAGTGGAGAAACTCATTATTTCATCAAGGGTTTGACTGGAATGTTGTGCTTTCCTTTAAGGAATCGAACTTGACATATGGAGCCAATAAAGGCCTTGGAAAAACTGGCCTCATATTTTGTGTACAGGGCTTCTGACCTGTGGTAAATAAAGAATGTCACTTTCCAACAGGCCCAGAATCCCCAGCTTTATCTTGGAACCTCAAGAGGAGAGGAAATTCACCCACCTCATAGGTATTTGATGACACAAATTCGTGGCTGGTTTGGCTTTTAAAAGACTCATCTGAGATTCTTCCTATGGAACAAGTCCCATCAAACTCAATTTAAAAGCCTATGTAAAAAAAAATATATATATATATATTTGTATTATATATATAAATTTAATATATATATAATTTATGATATATATATAATTTATTATATTTATATATAATATAATAAATTATATTTGTCAATTTATTTTATATATATTTATTATATATATATATATTACATATATATATAATTGCCACATTGTAGACAAATAATTAGGCCAGGTAGAATAAAGCAAACCAGTCCCACCATAATGTGTCTTTAGTAAAAATGAGAAGCTGGAGAGGGAAAAATTGTGTTTCAAGACAATAGTACACCTGTTGTTAGATTGTAGTTTTGCCTAATATTCTTTTCGATTTTTATTATTTTCTACAGTTTGAACTGAATTCTAATTTTTCTTGGCTACAAGTCTTCAAAATAATGTTTTCCATTTTTTCCTTCTTATTTTTTTCTAATTTGGAGTCACTGAAAACTAAGCTTTGCTTTCTTAAAACCCTGTGAACTGAAGCCAGACAACTTAACCTTCAGAAGAATATAACGGCAGCCTGTTTACGTACATAAGCCCCTTTCATATCTGCCTGCTAATGTGTGGACTTCAGAGGAATGTAGTCTATATAAATGTTTCCAGGATTGTTTTTTGTTTGTTGTTGTTGTTCTCCATTCCTCCCCCCATTTTCTCTTCGAAGGACACGAGACTTCACAACCTG